CGCAAGGATCAAGTCAAAGATTTGAAATGCGAAGAAGCAAAAAACACCCAACCGGAAAAGCAAAATGAAAAAAGAATCCAAAAATACGAAGATAGTGTAAGGAGCCTCTGGGACAGCTTCAAGCGTACCAACATCAGAATTATAGGGGTACCAGAAGAAGAGAGAGGGCAAGATATTGAAAACCTATTTGAAGAAATAATGACAGAAAACTTCCCCTACCTGGTGAAAGAAATAGACTTCCAAGTCCAGGAAGCGCAGAGAACCCCAAACAAAAGGAATCCAAAGAGGACCACACCAAGACACATCATAATTAAAATGCCAAGAGCAAAAGACAAAGAGAGAATCTTAAAAGCAGCAAGAGAAAAAAAGTCAGTTACCTATAAGGGAGTACCCATACGACTGTCAGCTGATTTCTCAACAGAAACTTTGCAGGCCAGAAGGGAGTGGCAAGAAATATTCAAAGTGATGAATAGCAAGAACCTACAACCAAGATTACTTTATCCAGCAAAGCTATCATTCAGAATTGAAGGTCAGATAAAGAGCTTCACAGATAAGGAAAAGCTAAAGGAGTTCATCACCACCAAACCAGTATTATATGAAATGCTGAAAGGTATCCTTTAAGAAGAGGAAGAAGAAGAAAAAGGTAAAGATACAAATTATGAACAACAAATACACATCTATCAACAAGTGAATCAGTGAATAAATAATCTGATGAACAGAATAAACTGGTGAATATAACAGAATCAGGGGCATAGAAAGGGAGTGGACTAACTATTCTTGGGGGGGAAAGGGGTGTGGGGGATACAGGAAGAGACTGGACAAAAATCGTGCACCTATGGATGAGGACAGTGCGGGGGGTGAGGGCGGAGGGTGGTGTGGGAACCGGGTAGAGGGGAGCTATGGGGAGAAAAAAGAGGAACAACTGTAATAATCTGAACAATAAAGATTTAATTAAAAAAAAAGAAACATAAGGACCTATTTAACAATGCACACCAAGTTATATATCTTCAGCCTCAACTAGGAATAAATCATTGCATTTTTTAGCTTCTTTATTTCCTTTTGTTTTGTTTTTCATGCTAATTTTTAGGTTCAGTAAAATAGTTAATATATAAAATGAAAAAAACCAAAACTCCTTAAAATAGCGGTTCTCAACCTGTGGGTCGAGACCCCTTTGGCAGTCGAACCACCCTTTCACAGGGGTCGCCTAAGACCATCCTGCATGTCAGATATTTACATTACAATTCGTAACAGTAGCAACATTACAGTTATGAAGTAGCAACAAAAATAATTTTATGGTTGGGTCACAACATGAGGAACTGTATTTAAAGGGCCAGAAGGTTGAGAACCACTGCCTTAAAGGAAGATACTATAGAAAATAACTCCAAAAAAGTAAAAGTATCTATCTATTGATATAGAGGTACAGGTTCTGATTATTAGTTCAAATGATATTTAAGTTTACCACAATTTACTATATTTTCCTACAGAAAAAGAAATAGAAGTGTAGAATTACTTTCTGAAATTAATAAAAACATTTTTAGACTTTTAAAAACTTGGATAAATTATCTTTTTTAAAAAATAAACAAACTTTAATGTGGGAATTTCCAGGGACCTTTTATTTACTTATTTAAAAATATATATTTGTGTTGATTTTAGAGAGGAAGGAAGAGGGAAAGAGAGAAAAATCAATGATGAGAGAGAATCATTGATTGGCTGCCTCCTACACGCCCCCTTCTGGGGATCGAACTCGGCAACCCAGGTATGTGCCCTGACCAGGAATTGAACCTGGTTCATAGGTTGACACTCAACCACTGAGCCACTCTGGCTGAGCTAAATTATTATCTTATGTTGTCTTTTGGTTGCATTAGTACAAAGTAGAATAACAAGTGCCTGTGGTTTAAGCAAAATCATTTCAGTGGTTATAAGTATTAAAGTCCTCATAATAAGGTTTTAAAACAATTTTTTTGAAGAAAAAGAAACATTTACATTAGAAAAAACATGAGTGGCAAGGAAAAGTGATGGTTACTTTAAAAAATTCTTTTCGTACCTGTCTTTTACTATGACCTTTGCTTGCTCATCAATTTCCATGTCTTCAACATTTTCATTCACAGTTTTAATTATCCCATTTTCCTTGTTTTCTTCAATTAACAGCTCATACCGTCCATTTTCTAATGCTGATCTCCAGATGTGTCGATCTGTAACCTGTAACAAAACTCAAATTATTAATCTTGAAAACTGGCATATGTTGTTCCTAAGGAGTATGAGTTTTAATGTACATATGAAAAACTCATGAATGTTCTAGAACATATTGTGAATCAAAAAGGGATAATAAAAATAAGATTACTAAGTGGTCAAAATGAAATTCATATCATTCACAGATGGAAGCTTTAGTACCTCACTATATAGGAAAATCATAAACAATTCTAAGATTGGTCACCTGATAGTAGCAAAAAAGTGACAGATGATAGCAAAGCAATGAATAGAACACACATATCAAACATGAATTACTTACAGATTTTAAAAAGGTAACAAAGAAACCAATAAACAAACCAGACTCAGCAGAGCAGGCAGGAGCTGGTCAAGGAAGAAGAAAATATCCTTACACATTTCAACATCTTGGATGAATATACCATATAACAGATATTTAAAAAATACTAAAAATTAATGTTAAAAGGGTCAGTTATGGTCACTAAGTTCAGTTTAAGAAAGCTGATAGTCATATAGCATAATTAAGAAAGATTTATATCCACACATAAACATTTTTTATACAGGGGAATAATAGGCTGTTTTTATAAAAAATGTATCACTCTGGTATTCAAAACACACATGGGTTGCCTATAGCAAAGAAATAAACAAGTTATTACAAAAATTCTGGTAATTTGATAAACTAAAAATGGGAATAGGCACAAACCTTTATTGCTCCTAATGTTCCTTGGTAGATTCTGTCTTCAATATCCAAAAGAAAATCTCTCAGCCTCAATTCAAGTTGCCTCTCTGCAGACATCTGAGATGGATCATATGCATTGGAAGCTCTTCCCCGAGTATATGTAGGTTTGCTATCATTTTGAGGTTTGTCTGAAATAGTTATCCAATACTTTATTATGATTTCCTTATTTAAAAATATAATCACCTCATGTAACTGTTATGATCATGAGATAATGGATATCAAAACCCTTAGTAAATCCTCAAGTGCAATAAAAAAAAGGAGAGGGGGAGAAAATGTTTGCACATTGTATACCTGAAAAGGGACTTGAATATAGGATATACATAAAAAACTCATAATAAAAAGGCAATCCAATTAAAAATGGTAAAATGATCTGAACAGACTTTTCTTTAAGGAAGATATATAAATGGCCAATAAGACCATGATATAATGTTCTACATCATTACTCATTCAGGAAATGAATGTCGAAAATGAAATGAAGTATCACTTCACACCTCTAGGATGGCTAGAATAAAAAAGTCAGATAATAACAAGTATTGGCAAAGATGTGGAGAAATGTTAACCATCGCACTCTGTTGGCAGAAATATAAAATGGTGTAGCCACTTTGGGAAACAGTCTGGTACTTCCTCAAATGATTAAACAGAATTATCACATGGCCCAGTAATTTCACTCTTAGATATATACCCAAGAGAAATGAAAACATATGTCAACACAAAAAGTTGTATGCAAATGTTTATAGTAGTATTATTTAAAATAGCCAAAAGATGTAAATAGAAATGTCCATCAACTAACATATGGACAAAAAAAAAAGTGGTATACAATGGAACATTATTTGGCCATAAAAAGGAATAAGATACTGATACATGCTACTACTTAGATGAATCTTGAAAAAATATGCTAAGTGAAAGAAGTAAGCCACAAAAGACCTTATCTGACATAATGCCATTCATATTAAATGTTCAAACAGGGATATTTATAGAGACAGAAAATAAATTTGTGGTTGCTTAGGTCTATTGGGTGGGGGTAGTACCTAAAGTGTACGGTGTTTCTTTATAAGGTGATGAAATGTTCTAAAATTAACCATGTGATGATGGTTGCGCATATTGGTGAATATACTATACAACCACTGAACTGAATATTTTTAATGAGTGAATTGTATGGTGTATGAATTAAATTTAATAAAGCTGTTAAAAAAAAAGAATCGTGAGTTACAGTTTTTAATCCGGAAGAGAACTAAAGTAGTGATGGTCACTCTGGCTGGTTTTGCTCAGTGGTTAGAGTGTTGGCCTGTGGACCAAAGGGTCAAGGGTTCGATTCCCAGTCAAGGGCACATACTTTGGTTTTGGGTTTACTCCCCATCCCTGGTCTTGGTGTATGCAGGAGGCAACCAATCAATGTGTCTCTCATGTCTATGTTTCTCTCTCCCTCCCTCCCCCACTTCTACTCCCTTCCACTCTGAAAATCAATGGAAAAAATATTCTCGGGTGAGGATTAAAAAAATAAAAATAAAGTAGTGATGGTAATATGCCCCCAAATTTAAGAGTACACTACCTAGAGAATCTCATTTAGAAATATAAGAAATTATACCTAGCCCTGGCCAGGTGGCTCAGTTGACTGGAGCATATTGCAGGTTTGATTCTCAGTCAGGGCACATACCTAGGTTTCAGGTTGGATCCCCAGTCGGGGCACATACAGGAGGCGGCCGATCAATGTTTTTCTCTCACATCAAAGTCTCTGTCTCTGTCTTTCTCTCTCTCTCTCTGACTCTCAAATCAATAAAAACATATCTTTGGGTGAGGATTAAAAAAATAAAACAAAAACAAAAACTTATATCTAAATATGTTTTACTGCTTTTACAAATGAAACCCAGTGGAATATCGAGAACCTTGTTTCCCTAACTCGCAAACACTCAAACATAGCATGGTCCAAATGAAAGATAAGGTGTTTTAATATAGCTCTAATAATTTGAAAAAATGTTTAATCCTGAACCAGAGTTTTATGGGGAGAGAAAAATAAAGGCAATAGTTTTCACTGAAAATTTACCTGAAAAATGGAATTTCTCTTCAGAAAAACGGGCTAGCTGTGCACATATTCTGCTTTTCTCTTGTAACAAAGTTTCTTTTAAGGCACTTTCTCTATGTCCTCTAGAATTAAGAGCTTCAATAAGCTGGTCTAGCTGTTCACAAGAACTGTAAAAGCACCACCGATTTGGCTTATGCACTGGTTTTGGCAGTTGCACAGAATCATCACATGGATCTTGGTCAATGTTGGAGGTAGATTCAGACATCAAAGACTCTCCAGTTTTAGTGGATACCTGAGCATTTTGAAACTGTACATTATTCTGAAATGATGAAGGTCTAGGCAACAGCATGTCTTCAGTGAGACCAGAATAATCCTCTTCAATAAACAATCCAGGAATAGAAGGGAAAATCCAATATCGCCTATACATTCGGTCACGTCCCAAGGGAAAGATATTAGTGCATGCTATGGCACTTTGGATTTTTTCTAAGAGCTCTTTCTCTTTTCGTTGGTGTTCATGTTTTAAAGCTTCTTCCTCATCAGCAGTAAGAGGCTCTCTTGTTAAACAGTTGATCTCTTCTTGTCTTGTAAATTCTTTAAATCCATTTTGTCCCCTTTTCCCTAGAGTTGAAGTAACGTTTGATCACCATCATATTTTAAACTTTCATTAGAAAAATAAGATCTAAGGCTACCCCAAATTACTATATGCTATGGACTGAAATATGTGCCCCAAAATCCACAGGTTGCAATCCTAAATCCCTATGCTACTGCTTCTGGAGATAAATCCTTTAAGGAAGTAATTAAGGTGAAATGAGATCCTAAGGGTCAGAGCCTTATAGGAAGAGGAAGAGAGACCAGAGCATTCTTGCTCTTCACTGTGAGTATGGAGGAAAGGTTGTGTGAGGACACAGTAAGAAAGTGCTATCCTATAAGCTGGGGAGAGAAGCCTCACCAGAAATCAACCCTGCTTGGACTTTGATCTTGTACTTCCAGACTCCAGGACTGTGAGAAAATAAATTCCTGTTGTTTAAGCCACCTGGTCTGTGGTATTTTGTTATGTCAGCACTAATAGACTAATACACTATGTTAATAAGAAATTGGTACAGTTAAATATAAAAAGACACACAAATATCTGTGATACCTGTAACCGGAAAGTCTGGCAGAATCTGTTATTCTGCGATATATTCAGTCCTTCCTCTTAGGCAGGAGTAAGCAAACTACTTTTAAAAAGGGCGAGCTAGTAAATATTTTAAGCTTTATGGGTCATACTGTTTCTATCACAAGCTACTCAACTCTGCCATTGCAGCATGAAAGCAACCATAGTCATTATGTAAATGAATGAGCATGGCTGTGTTCAATAAAACTTTATTTATGATCACTGAAATCTGAATTTCATATAAATTTCACATTAAAAAAATGTTCTTTTTTTAAATACAGAGGGCAGGGCAGATTTGGCCAATGGGCTGTAATTTACTAACCACTGTTTTCAAGTAAGGGAACCCTTAACTTTTAGTTGGGTACCCAGCAAGCCAAAAGAAGGACAATATTTCCCAGACCCCCTTTCTCCAGTAGGCATGACTACATGAGAAACTTCTGGTGAAATAAATGGGGAACAGAAGCATTACATGTAACTTCAGAGTTGTACTTCTCTTTCTTCTTTCTCTCTTCCAACTAGCCAAAATGGAGACATGATGATAAATGCTTTTTGAACATGAGGATAGAAGCACCAACAAGATAGAAAGAGCCTGAATTCCTGGTAACCTGCCTGGCATTAACAATGTATTGAAGAACTGAACTTATCTCCTATTCTAGTCACTGTCAAATTACTTAACTGGTTGGGGAGTGTGTTTTTTTCTACTTTTTTTTCCTTGAATGAGTTTGTATAAAGTTGGAATTATTTGCTTTAAAACTGGCAGAATTCACCTATAAAATTGTCCAGGACTGATGTTTTCTTTGTTGGAAGACTTTTAATACTTATTCTAAATCTTTAATGGTTTAGAACCATTCACATAATCCATTAATCCATTTTTATAATTTACATTATTCAATTTATTGCCATAAAATTGGACACAGAAAATCAATTTCAAAAAAGGTTTGTCTAGCCCCGCTGGCGTGGCTCAGTGGTTGAGCATCACACCTATGAACCAGGAGGTCACTGGTTCGATTCCCAGTTAGGGCACATGCCTAGGTTGTGGGCTTAATCCCCAGTGTGGGGCATGCGGGAGGCAGCCCCTCAATGATTCTCTCTCATCATTGATGTTTCTATCTCTCTCTCCCTCTCTCTTCCTCTCTGAAATAAATAAAAATATATAAAAAAAGGTTTGTCTAATTTGTGTTTTTTTCAAAGAACAAACTTTTGGCTTTGTTGTTCTTTTCTACTGTAGTCTTATTTTCTATTAATTTCTACTCATATCTGTTGTTTCCTTGTATTTGGGGGTATTATTCTATTTTCTATTTCTAACTTCTTAAATAAATAAATGCCTACCTCAATTTGCCTTTCTTGATTCCTAATATGCATTAAAGCTATAAATGTTCCTCAAAGTAGAGGGACTACATCAAACAAATGTTAACATGCAGTATTGATTAGTTTAAAATATTTTCTAGTTTCCATTATGGTTTCTCCTTTGATACATTGTTTGGAAATATGTTTTAAAACGCTCATCATATGAGGTTTTTGTTTTCAATTTTTAAATCAATTAGACTGCAATCAGAAAATATAACCTCCATGATACAGGACATTTTCTGTAATAATAACCGTTTAGAAAATAATGTAGAAAAAAATAGCATCCGAATTATAGGCACAGAATAAACTTAAGGATTAAGTTGTGAAATGAAGATGATTAAAGACCCTCAGAAGTAATTTCTATCAATAACTTTCAAAAAATGTATTTCCTTTGATCCAGGAATTTATGAAATTATGTTAAGGCAGCAGAGATTTCCATTCTCAGAAATATGACACCAATTACAAGCATTATTGATCTCTGTATCTCTAGTACCTAAGAGGCATTCAATGAATGTTGAATGAATACATAACTCAACAAAACTCATTGACTAACCAAAAGTAGAAGTTAAGAGAAACTGACCTATTACAGAGATAGGTATATTGTCTTTTTCCCCTAAAGTATAAATGACATATAAATAAAGATCTAATCATAAATATACTAATGTAACTTCATAACCATTTTAGAACAAAATGGTTACAGCTATGAGTTGGGCACTTAAAAAACAAACACACCTTGGAATCACAAATGGAAGTAATCTAATACATATGTCAGAATAGCTGAATTAATAAAGTGCCTTATCAATTAAAAACAAGTAAGCATGTCCATAAGAAATTTCTGTATTACCCCTTCTGCTTCTTTTATGTGATCCTGGGTCATCTTCATCTTCGGTGACTGTATCTTGATCTAGTTCCTTTTGCTCTATTTCTTTGCTGTCAGTGCTAGTATCAAAATCTCTTTCTTCCTCCCTTCAGGACAAAAACAAAGTTAATATTCATTAGTGATTATATAATTCCATTCATAAAATACTTATTGCCTGCCTACAAAGTGTGCTTATGAAGTAGAAGACAAGATGACAGAGTTTATAGACTTGTAGAGAAAACATAAACCATTGTTAAAATATGTAATAAGTACTAAAAAAGGAGAAGTTCAAGGTGCTGTGGAAGCATTTAAAGGAGAACCAAATCTAGTCTCAGGGATCAAGAAAGACTTGCTTGAAGAAGTGACATTTAAACGGAGAGACTAAAACAAACGAACAAACAAACAAAACAAAAAAACCGGAAAGACTACAGAGACTGAGGAGGAGTGAGGTGGCAGGAAAAAAAATCTCCATTTCTAGTAGAGGTGATAGTATGTGCAAAGGCTGAAGGGACAGGAAAGAGCATATAATTTTAAGAATGTAAAACAACAAAAAGAAAAAAAAGAATGTAAAACAAAAAGAAGTAATCCAAGATATGGGTAAGAAAAAGGCAGGGTTAGATCATACTAGATCTTGTAGGCATTATTCAAAAATCAATGGTAAAAAACGAGAGAGGAAAAAGCAATGGTGAAAAGGTAGAAGAGTTTAGTAAAGGGAAATGATGTGACTAGAAAGCACTTTGGTTGCTACGTGGAAAATTATCTGGCAGAATAGATGAGGGGAGACCAGTAAAGTGGCCACTGTAATAGTCTAGGAAGTTGGCTGGGAGGTGATGGTGGCTCAGAGTAGAAAGTAGATAGACAAATAATGGAGGAGGAAGGTAGACAAATTTCAGATATAAGTAGGCAGAATGAACACTATATGAATGTTTTATCTAATCCATTCTATTGTTCAAATTAAAACTAAAATTGAATGAACTTTGAAATAAATTCCATTTTTGTTCTATATGCAAAGCGAGGCTTGTAAACTCAAATGTATTCAGAAGCGAGAGAGATAATGTATGAGTGAGGCTAAATGAGTATAAAAAATGAAGTTGTGTTGCCGAAACCGGTTTGGCTCAGTGGATGGAGCGTCGGCCTGCGGACTGAAAGGTCCCATGTTCGATTCCGGTCAGGGGCATGTACCTGGGTTGCGGCCACATCCCCAGGAGGAGATGTGTAGGAGGCAGCTGATCGATGTTTCTCTCTCATCGATGTTTCTGACTCTCTATCTCTCTCCCTTTCTCTCTGTGAAAAATCAATAAAATATTTTAAAAAAAAATGAAGTTGTGGGGTCTTATAACATGTTTATTTTCTTGAAAGACAAAAACCCATGATCATATCAATAGATGGGGAAAAAGCATTCAACAAAATTCAACACCCATTTTTGATAAAAACTCTCAACAAAGTGGGAATAGAGGGAGCATATCTCAACATGATAAAGGCCATATATGACAAACCTACAGTGAACATTATACTCAACAGGCAAAAACTAAAACCATTTGCCCTAAGAACAAGAACAAGCAGGGATGTCTGCCTTCACCACTCTTATTCAACATAGCACTGAAGTCCTAGCCACAGCGATCAGACAAGAAGAAATAAAAAGCATCTACATTGGAAAGGAGGTTACAAGTAAAACTGTCATTAATTGCAGATGACATGATATTGTACATAAAAAACTCTACAGACTCCACGAAAAACTACTAGATTTAATATATGAATTTAGCAATGTAGCAGGATACAAAACAACACTCAAAAATCGATGGCTTTTTTTATACACCAATAATAAATTATCAGAAAGATAAACTAAACAAGCAATCCCATTTGCCATTGCAACAACAAAAAATTAAAATACTTAGGAATAAACTTAACCAAGGAGGCAAAAGACCTGCAATTGGAAAACTACAGGACGTTGGAAAAAGAGATGAAAGATATAAACAAGTGGAAGAATATACTGTGTTCATGGATTGGTAGAATCAACATCATTAAAATGTCAATACTACCCAAGGCAATCTACAAACTGAATGCAATCCCTATTAAAGTACCAACAGCACATTTCACAGATCTAGAACAAATACTCCAAAAATTTATATGGAATAAAAAAAGAACCTGAATAGCTGCAGCAATCTTGAGGAAGAAGAACAAAGTTGGAGGAATGACAATACCAGATACCATGTTATACTACAAAGTCACCATAATCAAAACAACCTGATACTGGCACAAGAACAGGCATACAGATCAATGGAACAGAACAGAGAACCCAGAAATCAACAACCCAAGCCATTACACTCAATTATATTTGACAAAGGAGGCAAGAGCATACAATGGAGTCAAGACAGTCTCTTCAATAAATGATGTTGGGAAAATTGGACAGATACATGTTTATTTTCTTTAAAAAAACCCAACACCTGAGATATCACAAGGAAAAAATTCGTAACTATGTGAGGTGGTTAATATTAACTAAACTTACTGTGGTAATCATGTCACAATATATGCATATATTAAATCATTTTGTTGTACACATTAAACTAATACAATGCTACATGTCAATTATATTTTAATATATCTGGAAAAAGTTTATAAAATGTAAAAACATTAAGATATAATTCACATACCATAAAAATCACCTTTTTAAAGTGTAGGATTCACTGGTTTTAGTATATTCACACAGTTGTACAATCACTACCCTGATTTAATTCCAAAACATTTTCATCATCCCCAAAGACAAACCCTATAGTAATCACTTTCCATTTTCTCTTCCCCACTGCCCCTGGTAACCACTCATCTACTTTCTGCTATGAATTTGTCTCTTCTGGACTTTTCACATAAATACAATCATACACTACATGGCCTTTTAGGATTAGCTTCTTTCACCTGCATAACATTTTCAAATTTCATTAACATTGTAGCATATAACAGAGTTTTATTCCTTTTTATTGCTGACCTAGAGGCCTGGTGCATAAAATTCATGCACGGGTAGGGTCCCTAGGCCTGGCCAACCATCAGGGCCAATCAGGTCCCCCTGCTTCCTCCTTCCCTAGTCACCCGCACTGCCACTGCACAGTTCCCCCCACCTCCTCCTTCCCTCGCTCCCTCAGTGCCCTGCATCCCAGCTGGTTGCCTGCCATGTTCTGTGCCACCCCCTGGTGGTCAGTGCATGTCATAGCGAGCGACTGAACTTCCATTCTCCGGTGAACTCCCGAGGGGACACTTTGCATATTAGCCTTTTATATATATATATAGATAACATTCTGCTGTATGGATATACCACAGAAAGGATATATCATTTTGTTTATATATCATTTGTCATCAATTGATAGACATTTGGGTTGTAACCATTTTTTGGCTATTAATAATGATGTTGCTATGCCCTGGCCAGTGTGGCTCAGTTGGTTGAGCATCGTCCCATGCACTGAGAGGTTGCTGGTTCGATTTCCAGTCAGGGCACATACCCTGTGCCAGAGGCAACCAATCAATGTGTCTCTCTCTCTCTTCCTCCCCGCTTCCTCTCTCTCTCTAAATGGGAGGAAGGGAGGGTGAGAGAGAAACAATGATGTGAGAGAGACACATTGATTGGCTGCCTTCCGAACATACACTGACTGGGGTGGGGATCAACATGCAATCCAGGTAAGTGCTCTTGACCAGGAATTGAACCCAAGACCCTTTGATATGCAGGCCAACACTAAACACTGAGCCATGCTGGCCAGGGCAAGAGTTCCAATTTTTTCCACTTTCTCACCAACACTTGTTATTATCTCTCATTTGGATTATAGCCATCTTAGTCAGTGTCAAGTATATCTCATTGTGATTTTGAAACACATTTCCCTAATGACTAATGATGTTGAGCATCTTTTCATGGGCTTCTTATGCATTTTCTTTGGAGAAATGCCTATTCAAATCCTTTGTCAATTTTTTAATTGGGTTATCTTTTTATTGTTGAGTTGTATAAGTACTTACCTATTCTGGATATTAGACCACTATCAAATATATTATTTGCAAATATTTTTTTTCCCATTCACTGGACTGTCTGGCATTGGGGCAGGCACGTGGGGGCAGCTTTCTCCAAGGAGATGCTCCCTGGGCTAATTGGCAGCCATTTCTGTCAGCTCCGCCCTGGTGATTCCCTGAGACGCTGACCCATCTAATTTACAACCCCACTCAAGCTGTGTGCAGTAGCTTTTGCATATGAATGGCCTTTCCTTGCTAAGGCTAAAATCTGTCAAACAAGCTGCAGCTGGGTCAGGAAGCCCCAAACCTATCAATAAAAGGCCCAAGACCCAGCACCAGAACCAGCCTGCCTTGCTCCACAGCTGGGCCTCATCTGGGCACTTCCAAACCTGATACAAAGAGGAGAAATCTGTAGATCTCTCTGTAGCTACTGCTGGATGGCCCAGGCAGTGGCTGACTTTGCACCTCCTTGGAGACCAAGAGCCAGTGTACCCAGTGGTCAGTGTGAGACCATACCAGATTACAACTCTTCACATTCATAAGCGACACACTCAAGCAGCAGACTCAGTGAGCACCAAAGCCCCACTGAAGCAAGTTCTTCTCCATAGGGGTGTCTCCTGCATAGTAGCTCTCCCACTGTAGTCGCAGCTGGTTCTCACAGCCAATTAGCCTGGAGGTCAATTCCTCCCAGTGACACCAACAGCAATCAAGGCTCAACTACAACAAGACTGTGCTCATAGCCCACACAGGTGCACCTAGAGTGCCTAGCTCAGGTAATTGTGGAGGCTGAGCCACTGGGCCCTACAGGACACCTACTACATAAGGCCACCAACTTCAGGAGACATAGTAGCTCTAACCAATACATAGAAACAAACACAGGGAAGCAGCCATAATGTGGAGACAAAGAAGCATGTCATAAGTGAAAGAAATGGAAGAAAGCAAACTACTAGATATAGAGTTCAAAACCATGGTTATAAGGTTACTCAAGAATCTTCTAGAAACCTCCAAGGGACTTAGTGAGACCTTCAAGGATCTTAATGAGAATGCCAAAAAAATGGAAAAGGACCAGTCAGAAATTAAGCATACACTGACTGAAATAAAGAATAATATTCAGGGATTCAACAGTAGACTAGAGGATCCGGAGAATCAAATCAATGATTTGAAACATAAGGAAGCAAAAAACACCCAACCAGAAGAGCAAAAAGAAAAACGATTCCAAAAATATGAAGATAGTGTAAGGAGCCTCTAGGACAACTTTAAGTGTACCAACATCTGCTTTATGGGGGTGCCAGAGGAAGAAAGAAAGCAAGATATTGAAAACCTATTTGAAGAAATAATGACAGAAAACTTGCCCTACCTGGTGAAAGAAATAGACTTACAAGTCCAGGAAGCACAGAGAACCCCAAACAAGAGGAATCCAAAGAGGACCA